AGTCTGGCAAAAGGTCTCACCACTGAGCTCTTAAATTAATATTTTAAACCTTATAAAATGATTGCAATGTATAGTCACAGTGATACGTTTACCTATTGTACATCTTTCAGAATCTGCAATGTAATACTCATGAATGCAACACGATGCATTAAGAGCCAGTGGGTACAATTTTTAGCAAGATGATGTGATGATTACATTTTTCTAATATTGTTTTACATGCTAATATCTTTTTTAGCCTCTGAAGGGCAGGACTAAATTAATTAATTAATTTCTAAACAAAGTAAGAACAATTTACACCAATTTACATTGTTCAAAAGTTTACACCCCCTGGCTCTTAACAGATGCTTCCTTCTTGAGCATCACTAAATGTTTGCAGGGTTTGTAATAGTTGTGCGTGAGTCCCTCAGTTGTCACCAGTGCGAAAAGATGGATCTCACAATCACAGCCACTGCTAGTAAGGAGTCAAATATGAAGAAGATGCTGGAAAAGCAAAGAATGTGCAGGAGCTGGAGGATTTTTCCACATGAACAACCATTACAAAAACAAAAACAAAAAAACACACACAAAAAAAACAGTTGTGGATCATTCAGGTAATGGCACACAATATAAAAATCAAGTTAATTTGTCTTGTATTTTGTGTTTGTATTTTTTCTTGTGGACTAGGCTATTAAACATCTGTTATGTGAAAAAGCTTTTTCAGTGCAGTACTAAACAGAACAATGTTTTTATGATCCTTTCTTATAAATAAATAAAAATTACATTTTGGAGATTCTGAAAGGTGTTTGTAAACTAAAGTGTAAATGTACCAAAAATCATAAAACTATTAGACGCCAAAATATTGCTATGGTTACTATGTCAATCATCGCAATTTCATGACTCACATGACTAAAATTTTGCGGATTCACTCCCACATTTAAATGCATTTATCACTCTTTATAATTTACTGTGTGAACGTAACCACTGGTCCTCTAGAAGCACGAAAAACAAAACTATTAGATTGTCAATAGCGCTCCCTTTAAGCCATCACTTACTTACCGCGTTCTGCACTCTCCCTTAAACTCTTGTCATAAACACTGAAGTTGTCCGCACTGCACAGTGAATCTCTCATTTATATCGCGTCTAGACTTTGTTGATTATGAGGGGATTTGCGAAAGGATAAAGCTCGTGCTGATTCTGAACATACATTTAGATCGAATTCTCCGCATGTAGACTAAAACGCCTCTGATTTGCCACTGTGTTCATGCGCTTAATATACATGTCTGCGATTGGCTACAATGCTCAACGCGGAAACAACACAAGTAGTTTCGTTTCGTTTTTGAATAATTTTTGTGTCCTCTAGTGCCCGGACTCGACTGGACTCGGACATTCTTCCGAGTCTAAAATGTCCGAGTCCGTGTCAAGTCCGAGTACAAATTCATCCAAGTGCGTGACAAGTCCGAGTTCGTTCAAAATTGGATTTGAGTCCGGACTCGAGTCCGAGTCCGAGTTCGAGTACCCCAACTCTACAGAAGACCACTTAATACTGGAGAATTAAACAGCAGAGTACGCATAATAAAAAAGAAAAAGTATTTCTTTAAATCAGTACGGCTCAAATGGGCAACATTACTGATAACAGACACATGCAGTCCAAACATAGGACTATTCACTGGCCTAAACAATTTGTCCAAAAGACTGTATAATAATGTGTGTGCTATCAGCACTATCCCTTATACAACACAGAGAAACAAAATTGTCTGGGAAAAATCCCTAACCCCTGCGAATCGCTTTAAAAACTAGGCATTAACTGTCATACACAACCTTTAAGTGCTTTCATAAATTCAACGGCGAATTCTTGAAAGCCAGCATTTTGTGCTTTTTAGGTTGACACAATTAGCAGCGCATTCGCCAGGGATCCTTTTTAACGCAGACAATTACATAATCTCTCTCATATATGGCTATAATGTCTCTATTCTCAGTCATGTCGACATCGCTAACTTCCTCTGTCTCATCCATAACGTTAGCCATTATTCCTGTTGCTTATTGCTTATTGCCTTGCTTATAGCTAGCCTACGTCTGTGGTGCGTGATAGTCAAGACAATTACACACCAATGGGGTAGTCATGTTTTATGTTAAAAAAGGCGCACATTGACAAGAAATAGTATTGATCATGCCACCAAATACAGATTAGAATTAAAGCAATGAGCCAGGTTTGAAGTATGGACTGGTAAATGGACTGCATTTATATAGCGCTTTCACAGACCCAATGGCCACCAAAGCGCTTTACAATTTGCCTCACATTCACCCATTCACTCACTCATTCATACACCGATGGGCGACGGCAGCCATGCAAGGCGCCATCCAGCTCGTCGGGAGCAGCTGGGGTTAGGTGTCTTGCTCATGGACACCTCGACACTTGGTCAGGTGGAACCGAGGATTGAACCACCAACCTTCCGGTTTGTAGACAACCAACATGAACCACTGAGCCACTGTCGCCCCAGTGGAAAGTGGAAAGTGGAAAGTGGAAAGTAGAAAGTAGAAAGTACAGATACAGTATTTGTGTCAAAAATAAGGGTGAAAGTAAAGTACTGATACCAGAAAAATCGACTTAAGTACAGTAACAGAGTATTTGTACTTTGTTATCTCCCATCTCTGTATACAGCATTTACATATTATATATGTAAAAATGCTTTTACAAACAGAAAAATTGTGTTTCCTGAATGAGATCTAATCTGTAGTGGCATCTTAAATCACATACTGTCTGAGTATGTACTACATTTGAATTTGAATTTACTTCGTGGGCATTACAAAGCGCGTTATATATGACGTATGGATGTAACCCAGACAAACTATATCATTCCTGTTGCTACTGTCATGTGTTCTACCAGAGTCAGTTGCATTGCTTCACTGCCATTCATAAATCCTCTCCTGTGGCCTCATGGGATAGGAAAGTGTCCATCGAATGTGCACTTCAGAATCTTGGAAGTAGTGGGTCATCCGGGGACTTTTCGCCAACCCGGGGGGAGTATTCGATTCTGGACGCACCACATGTAAATTGAGTTCCAGGCATGGCATAAACAGTAAAGTGCCAGCAATTAATCACTCTTTCCACCCATTTAATTATCAAAGGCCTGAGGGCCAAAATCAACAAAGAATTTGTTTGACATCATCAGTTCTTCATTGTCTTTTCTAGTACATTTTAAACCATTCTAATGAGCATTTAAGTTGTGCATTCACAATATATGTTGAAGTTATCTTTATTAATTCTACCATAACAATCCTGTGTAGGTCCTGGGCTTTAACAATGAACCACCAATGATGCAGCAAACCCAGAATCCTCAGACACCTGCTGAACTCAAGGTTTCGTATGAATATTTACATCAAACACAAACCCAGTTAACAGGGAACGTTCTCAGAACTTTAGCTCAAGGTTCTGTTGCATGAACATCTGTATTTACTGTAGAGATGCATGTATCCTTTGGGTTCGTCTGATTCATCTGATTAAATCTGATATTGTTGATGCAAACAGAAATGTCCAGAGGAAAAACCTGAGGACCAAATTCATTCCAGCTTCAACAACTTTATGAGTGAGCTGAACAAACCAGGAGTCCCGTATGTGTTGAGTCTTGCCAACCGTCTCTACGGAGAGCAATCCTACCAGTTTGTTGAGGTAAGACTCGGTTTATTCACTGGAGGATCTGAAAATCAACTCTCAACTTATTTACACCTCAATCGGTTTGCTGTGTAACAGAAATTCCTCAATGACGCAAAAATCTACTATGAAGCCGGACTGGAGAAGGTGGACTTCAAGAACAAATCAGAGGCTACTCGTGTCAACATCAACAAATGGGTGGAGAAAAAAACACAAGGTGAAATCCAGCATAAAATTATTCTCAATTTGAATCTAATTCTACACTCAAAAAAAGTTATTTCATGTTTTTCAGCACTTTAACTTCAGCAAAAATTGATTTTCATGGGCCATGTTTGGCTTCATGGGTTCTTGACTTGAGCTAAATAAAAAGAAATATCAAACCCCACCAGTTCAAATCACTGCTCAAACTAAACTGTCCATTTGTATTTTAGAGAAGATCAAGGACTTGGTGCCACAGGGAGCCATCGATGGGATGACGAAACTGGTTTTGGTGAACGCCATCTACTTCAAGGGAAACTGGGAGAAGAAATTCCCAAAGGAAGCCACCAGAGATGGACAGTTTAAGCTGAACAAGGTGAAATTTCATTCTCTTTTTTTAATATTATTTTAATAATATTTGTAAAATCTGATGGGTTATAATGTGTTTCCATTTATGTTTGGCAGAATCAAACTAAACCAGTGAAGATGATGTATCAAAAGGAGAAGTTTCCTCTGGCCTTCATCCCAGAGATCAACAGTCAGGTTCTGGAGCTGCCGTATGACAGGAAGAATCTCAGTATGTTGATCATCCTTCCTAACGAGATGGAAGACGACACCACTGGCCTTCAGAAGGTGATTTGAATGCTTAATTAGCCAGCCGTGACCAGTCAGATGTTTACTTTTGGAGCATTTTCATTTTGACTGAACTATTCATCTGACATGTCTCTCTTATTATCCAGCTTGAAAAGGCACTGACCTACGAGAAGCTCATGGAGTGGACCAAACCAGAAGTCATGCGTCAACAAGAGGTTCAAATATCTCTGCCCAGATTCAAGATGGAGGAAAAATATGACATGAAGAGTTTTCTGATCAACATGGGAATGGAGGATGTGTTTGACATGCAGAAGGTGAATCTTTCAGGCATGTCCTCCAACAAAGACCTGGTGGTGTCGAAGGTGATCCATAAAGCCTTTGTTGAAGTCAACGAGGAAGGAACTGAAGCGGCTGCAGCCACCGGCGCCATCATGATGTTTTTGTGTTACATCGAACCGCAGGTCTTCAACGCAGACCATCCTTTCCTTTTCTTCATCCGACACAATCCAACCAAGAGCATTTTGTTTTACGGACGCTTCTGCTCTCCATGAGGGAGTTCTGCTGCATGAGATGATCTTAGGTGATGATCTGGTTCAAATGAGTAGGAGAGACTCGAGACAACTATTACAAATCATTTGGTTTAAGAAAAATCTATACTGTATGTGCCAACAGATCTTTTACAATTTACAGGGGAAAGACTTATTTAATTAATAGTATAAAATTGCAACGAATGACTGAATAAACCAGGCTTATATAGATGGAGTTAACAAGGTTACACAGCTGACAGCAATCCTGGATGATGAGTCCCGGAGAGTTCTAGGAAACGCGTTTATGACTGAAGAAATTAAATGCATTACAGTTGTCCTGAATCTCATTTAGGTTGTGGTTTTGGACAGGTCTCTTCATGCTACTGTATATGTAATCAAATCTATCAGTTTACAGAACGTGTATGCATTCACTGTAACAGTATATTCAACATAAATGAAATAAATCTTTACAGCTCTTCAATAAAACCTGATTTAAGTAATTTTTAATTGTAATCCGCTGACAAATTAACAGTGGTCAAACTCTGGTGCTAATTAGGCCCTGTTTTCACGAAAACGATTCCGGGTGAAAACGTAATAATATTTTATCGGATGTGCCTTTCGTTTACACGGCGACGGCGTTTTTGGGGCTTAAAAACGCAAAAAAGTGAAACCACCCTCCAAAGTGGAAATCGTCTCAGGTTACTACCGTAACCATAGTTCCCTGAGAAAGGGAACGAGACGATGCGTCACTTGACGCTTTGGGAACGCCCCCAGCGTGCATGCGTCTGAGCATCAATGTCAACTAGTCCAATGGAAAGAATGAGCGTCACGGGCGGGTGACGTCATGACCAGGAAGGGATAAAGGCTCGCCCGGTGAAACGCGGCATTAGCTTCAAAAAGTCGAAGCAAGCCGATCACAGGGAAGCAGGAAGTATGGCAGGGTGACGCATCGTCTCGTTCCCTTTCTCAGGGAACTATGGTTACGGTAGTAACCTGAGACGTTCCCTTTCGAGGGAACTGGCGATGCGTCACTTGACGCTTTGGGAACGAGAATACCCAAAACGCCAGAATTCCAAGTACCTGAGTGTCAGTCTGTTGGGAACCTGGGGCAGCATCCAGGTCCTAACTGTAAAACCTGACGAATGTGAGCGGTGAGGACCAGCCTGCCGCATCACAAACGTCTTGGAGGGAAACCCCAAATAACAAGGCTTTAGAGGCCGCCATACCCCTCGTTGAGTGAGCTCTGACCACCAAGGGACACGGATGGTCAGAGTACTCGTATGCAAGTGAAATAGCCTCGACTATCCACTTGCTAACCGTCTGTTTAGAAGCAGGAAGACCCTTCTTAGGTGATCCAAAGCAAATAAATAACTGGTCGGACTTCCTCATAGAAGATATCCGATGAACATAAGTATCCAGTGCTCGCACTGGACACAAGAGGTTCAGCCTTTCCTGGTCCGCAGATGTAAAAGGAGGAGGACAGAAAGCCTGCAGCACGATAGGCCTCGGAATCAAGGTCGGCACCTTAGGGACGTATCCCTGTTTTGGATATAAGAATGCCTTGACCATCCCCGGTGCAAACTCAAGGCAAGTGGGGGAAACCGAAAGGGCCTGAAGGTCTCCAACTCTCTTAAGGGACGAAATAGCTAGCAGAAAGATAGTCTTAAGGGTAAGAAATTTCTCTGAAACCGAATCTAAGGGCTCGAATGGAGCCCTAGACAGGCCATCTAGTACTATTGCCAAATCCCAAGCTGGCACCCTAGTGCGAGTTGCAGGCCTCAGCCTCAATGTGCCACGAAGGAAACGTGTAATCAGGGGGTCTCGACCCAACGATGTACCCCCAACCAGGGCGTGGTAAACCGCAATGGCCGCCACGTAAACCTTAAGTGTGGAAGGACATAACCTGACGTAAAGCGCTCCTGCAAGAACTCGAGTACTGTGTTCACAGAACAGTTAACCGGATCCCACTGATGTCGGTGACACCATACAGAAAAAACTTTCCATTTCAGCGCATATAGTTTCCTAGTAGCTGAAGCTCTGGAGCTTAGGATGGTCTCAGCAGCCTCAGCTGAGAGACCACTCTCTATGAGTTGGGCCCCCTCAGAGGCCAAACCCACAGGTTCCAAATCTCTGGTCGAGGGTGAAATATTGTGCCCCCGGCCTGAGACAGAAGGTCTCTCCTGATCGGGATCTCCAAGGGAGGACCGTCTAAGAGATGGATCAGGTCCGCAAACCAGATCCGACTCGGCCAGCGTGGTGCTACAAGCAGTAGGCTTATTCCGTACTGGCGGACTCGTTCCAGAACTCCTGGGAGCAGAGCAACAGGGGGAAATGCGTACAGACGTAGCCTCGGCCACGTCTGCACCATAGCATCCAGCCCCAGGGGGGCTGGGTGAGTAAGGGAGAACCAAAGTGGACAGTGCGTCGTGTGCTGAGACGCAAACAGATCCACCTCTGCTTGGCCGTAAAACTCCCAAATTTTCTCCACCGCCTCGGGGTGGAGTCTCCAGTCCCCTGGCCTCAGCTCCTGCCTCGACAGGATGTCTGCCCCCACATTCTGGTCCCCAGGAATATACACTGCCCTCAGGGAGAGTACCTTCCCCAGAGACCACAGGAGGATCTGGTGCGCCAGTTTGCAGAGCAGACGCGACCGCAGACCCCCCTGACGGTTCAGATAAGAGACCACTGATGTGTTGTCTGTTCGTACAAGCACATGATGGCCCCTCAGGTCTGGGAGAAACTGTCTCAACGCATTGAAGACAGCCATCATCTCCAGGCAATTGATGTGCCACGAAAGATGATGACTTTTCCACAGACCCTGAACCGAGTGGCCTTCCATTACCGCTCCCCAGCCGGTGAGGGAAGCATCTGTCTAAATCGTAACACGATGGCAAAGAGCTCCCAATACCGGACCCTGGGCTAAGAACCAATGTTTCCTCCATATAATTAAGGCACGAAGGCACCGCCGCGTGACCTTGATCATACGAAGTGGGTTTCCCCTCGGGGAGAACCCTCTGGTCCTTAGCCACCACTGTAGAGGTCTCATGTACAGCAGGCCAAAAGGAATCACGTTGGACGCTGCCGCCAAGAGACCCAACAGTCTCTCGAACTGTTTCACAGTGCGTGACTGGCCTAGCTTTAGCTCTTTGGTGGCTGTCAGGATAGCAGCTACACGAACGGGCGATAGAGTGGCCCGCATCGTCACTGAATCCCATACCACACCAAGGAAAGTGGTTCTCTGTACTGGAGAAAGAACACTCTTCTTGGCGTTGAGCCTCAACCCCAACATCTGCATATGGGCGAGAACGACACCTCGGTGCCGAACCGCCAACTGCTCTGATTCCGCCAGAATCAGCCAGTCGTCGATGTAGTTCAGAATACGTATGCCCTGAAGCCTGAGAGGGGCTAGAGCTGCATCCACGCATTTCGTGAACGTGCGGGGTGATAAAGCTAGACCGAAAGGAAGAACCCGATATTGGTATTCTTTGCCCCCAAAAGAAAACCTTAGGAACTTCCTGTGCTGAGGGAGGATGGAGATATGGAAGTAGGCGTCCTTCAGATCTATCGTGACAAACCAGTCCTCGGATCTGATTTGAGTCACGATCTGTTTGAGTGTCAGCATCTTGAACTTGAGTTTCTGTACTGAACGATTCAACAGACGAAGATCTAAAATGGGACGCAACCCCCCATCCTTTTTTGGAACAATGAAATAACGGCTGTAAAAACCCGACTCTCTGTCGGGTGAGTACACCTGTTCTATAGCTTCCTTTGCTAACAGGGCCTTTACCTCTTGCTCCATTACCAGAGCCTGCTCGGGATGCACCACTGTGGGCAGCACCCCGTTGTAACGAGGAGGACGAGAACCAAACTGGATTCTGTATCCTTTCTCTACAATCTGCAGGACCCAATGAGAAATATTCGGCAGAAGCTTCCACGCTGCCAGAAAATTTACTAAGGAAACCAGCCTCTCGAGGCTGGTCTCTGGTGTTATCGAGACAGCCAATTCCGGATCCTGAAACATAATGGCAGGAACTACCTGAACTGGCCGCTCTAAGGCCCCCCTCAGAGGGCGCGAAACCGATGCTGTGCCGCAGCATAGCATCAGCGACTCGCTGGAGACCGCTGCGCCCTGAAGCACCAAGGGTGGCAGGGTTGGCAGAACGGTCCCATGAGGACCCCGAAATGGAACGGGCACCGTATAATGAGGTGTACACCGCTCCACTTCGGTCGGGGCTGTCCTCACAGGCCTGATGCATGAACATCAGGACCTTGTTTTTTTTTTTGAACCGAAGTCTTCTTCGCCTGAAGAACGGTCCTCAGATCCGGCTTCGACTTAGAAGACTTCGGTTGAGAGGGTTGCGTCCGTCTCCAGTCTCTACGTGGAGGTGCACGAGACGCAACACTCTCTTTCTGATGCACACGATATGATGAGCTCGACGGCTGGGGCTGCTCACGCCCAGCAGTCCCAGGGGGCTGGACCCGGCGAGGGATAAACTTTTTAAAAACGTCCGCTTGTTTCTTTGACTCCTGAAATCTCTCGACGACCGCGTGGACTGCGTCGCCGAAGAGACCAGAAGGTTCAAGCGGAGCATCTAATAAAAAAGCTCGATCTTTTTCTTTAATTTCAGACAGATTTAACCACAAATGTCTCTCAGTAGCTACCAAGGCTGCCATAGACCGCCCAATTGCTCTGGCGGTCTCCTTAGTAGCCCTGAGAGAAAGATCGGTAGCCCGACGAAGTTCACGAATATCGTCATGACTGACTCCCTCACTACTATCCAGATCCCCCAGCAGGTCAGCTTGATAAGCCTGGAGCACTGCCATAGTATGCAGACATGCTCCAGCTTGACCTGCTGCCGTATAAGCTTTGCCCACTAACACCGAAGTGGCTTTAAGCGGTCTAGTGGGCAAAGCCGAGGCTTTCAGAGACGATGCGGGACCAGGGGAAAGATAACTGGCTAAATTCTCTTCCGCCTGGGGCATCGCCTCATAACCATACTCTTTCAGCCCTCTTATTCTCGAATAAGTGTTAACATGAGGGCTGAAAAGACGTGATGAGTATGGTTTATTCCACGATTTAGAAATTTCATTGTGCAAATCGGGAAAAAATGGAAGCCCTCGTGGTGGAGATAATGTGGTGGAAGATAAAAAGCGCTCATCTAATTTGCTTTTAGGACGAGCGCCCTTCTTCTCAGATGGCCATTCAATATTTAATTTCTCTACAGCCCGCGACATAACATCCACCAGCTCATCATATGCTGGGGAAATAAATTGTGAATCTCTTTCCCCCATGTGTGTGCTTACACTCTCCACACTCATCGCATCAACCTCCTCGGAGGAAGAGCAATAAAGTAATGGAGGGCTCTCTCCCCGGGCGAAAGAAACCGCAGAGCGTGCTTCCGACACCGGGGAGAGAGCACTGGATCTCTCGGGTAAGGAAGGAGAAAGAGCCCTCGGACCCGTCTCCAACCCCTCCGAAAGATCCTTTTGCGATCCCCAGGAATGCA